ACACACACACACACACACACACACGTTGCTAAATTAACCTTTTTTGGGGGGGGGGTTCGCTTTGTGCAGCCCAGCGGCCAAAACAGGCTGACTCCACAGACAATTATTCTCAAAAACTTTTAAAAAGCCACTTACTCTTTCTCAATAGTAATCATAACTTCTGCTGACTGGGGATTTAACGCCTTGGAGATCTAGGAAAAGATTCACAAGAGGGAAACAAAATCAAACTTTAAAAAAAAAACACCAGGTTTTAAAAGCCGCATCTAGAAAGTGGGAGACGGCGAGTTCAAATCCCACTTGAGGCCTGAAAGCCAGAGGGGGGGCGACTGTGTGCCAATCAACAGGTGACGGGGAGTTCTAGTTCCTCCTCAGGCATGAAAACCCGGCTGGGTGACTTTGGGCCAATCCCTGGGAGGCGGTGAGTTCTAGTCCTACCCTTGAGACAAAAGCAAATGGAGTAATCTTGGGACAGCGCCCCCCCCCCCTCGCCTCTCTCTCTCAGCCCAGTCTACCTCACAGGGTTGTTTTTTATGGGGAAAAGAGGAGGAGGAGGGTGTGCTAGATACGTTCACCCCCTTGAATTATTTATAAAAACAATGAAGACGGGATGTCAACAAATAAATAATAATAATAAAAGAGGTGGTAGAACTGGTTGGGCTGCTGAATTTTGAGGCGTTCATCTCCTTAGTGGGAGCTGACCGCGAAGGAGGAGCGGGCACTTTTGACATGCTCAGGAGATGCTTGCCAGTTGCTTCTATGATCTCCCAGCCAGATCTCCCCAGGGTCCCTTTGGTTTCATCTCTGAATTGCCGCCGGCAATTGTCACCCTAAACGTGGCGTGGACTCACCCGTTGCTCCTTCCCCAACCACGACTGGTTGGTGATGATGGGGTTCTTCTGTTTGCCTTTCCTCCTGGACCATCGCTGGACCTTCTTCCCCCTCGCCCGAACTTGAAGAGGCAGCTGCAGCTCCTTGGCTGGCGGGAGCCCGTCCACATGGGTTACGGTGTCCTGGAGAAGGGAGGAAGAGAAGCAGCGGGAAGCATCTGCAAGCCACCCCCAACTGCTACAGGCGTATAAAGGGTGGGTGGGTGAGTGGGGGCAGTGGTGGGATTCGAGTAATATAACAACCGGTTCTCTCTGCCCTAATTATTCCTTCCAACAACCAGTTGGCCAAACTGCTCAGAAAGTTAACAACCGGTTCTCCCCCGAAGTGGTGCGAACTGGCTGAATCCCACCACTGGTGGGTGATGGGGTGATGGCATATAGCAGGTGCTGTTATCCCCTCCGCTGCTTCGGTCCTCCCTGGTGCGTTGCCCACTGGATTCCCACAGCTTCCCCGCAGGGACCCTTGTCAGGAAAAATAACGCCCCCCCCCCCACCAATAGCAATAGCAATAGCAGTTAGCCTTATATATAGCTTCATAGGGCTTTCAGCCCTCTCTAAGCGGTTTACAGAGTCAGCATATCGCCCCCAACAATCCGATAGATAGATAAATAGATAGATGATAGATAGATAGATAGATAGATAGATAGATAGATAGATAGATAGATAGATAG